TCACTTGAATCACAAAAAAGGGAAATGAACTTATAAAATTAGGAAAATGAACATGAGGAGCAACAAAAGAAAATCCAGGAACAAATCAGAAACGAGACAATAAACAACCAATTGAACCAATGCGCACAAGAACACCCAGAACTGCTTATCCCGGGCGATTTGGTCTTTGTCTCTCTCAAAATCAACGGAGTCACAATTCCGGCGATGATTGACTCTGGCGCACAGGAGTCGGTTCTTTCTATGAAAACAGCAAGGGAGTGTAACTTACTCAACCAAATCGACTATCAAAGGAAAAAGATGTACCAAGGAATGGGGCAAGCGTCTTCAGTGGGGACTATATATATCGTACCCCTCATCATCGGCACAACGTACTGCGTCACGTCGCTCAACGTTTTATCAGAGGACTCCCCACTTGACCATCTCCTCATTGGAACAAATACACTCAGATCGCTTGGCGTTTGTTTGTGATTTTTAGTTCGACGTTTCACGTCTCTCGAAGACATCATTTGAAGTGGTGACATTTCTTGATGTCTGGAAGTTTAAATGTACAAATTATAAATTTTACTAATGAAAAAGAGTTAAATAGCCATCGGATTAACTAGAAGTGTTGCATCGACTTTTCAAAGAACTGTTTGAGAGTGAAGGGGGAAGAAGTCCCATTTTTGACAAACACTGAAGTGGACTACATTTTGCATAAGCCATTCCACATCAACCCATTCGAGGGAGAGTTTGTGGCGTCTCAACACAAGTTTTTGAAACCAGAACGACCCGTTCTACCAACACCGACACTGTTAAGGTACCCGGACTTGATGGTCCAACAATTGATCATGGAGGGGTTAAGTGATGATGATGCTCTCAACATGCTCGATATCACTGGAGGAAATTTGTCTGAAGCTCTTAGAAAGCTTCACTGATGCCTAATTATTATATGTTACATGTTGCGACTTGTCTAGTCAATCAAAAAAGGTCGACAGGACTTTTGAAAGGATTTAGATAAACTTTTTCGCAGACCTTTTGAACTCTAATCAACTTGAGTCTACAAATCGATTAGAGTTTTAATTACAATAGAAAATAAAAAGAATTATATTAATAGTTTTACCAAACCTCAAGTTTGATTAATTTATTATGACTGGTAGAACCTTTAATGAGTAAGAAAACAAATGAATTCATATGGTATTGTTGTTATAGTATTAGTAATAAACAAATAAGAAATGTCTTTTAAATGGACGAATCAGCCGTGTTTTTTCACTTTATCCAAAAATAGGGTTATCGAGGGTTTTCGGAAATAAAAAGATGAACGCGAAACATAAAGGAGGAATGTCGGCTCTTTTGGTGCAGATAGAATACTACTTCTGTGACTTGAACATCATTCAGGATAAGTTTTTGTTGGGCGTTATTGAAACCCAAAACGGGTTTGTCCCGATTGATACCCTTTTGGGATTTGTGAAGGTGAAGGAACTCACGACGTCAGCGGAGGAGATTGTGAAAGCCGTAGAGACGTCCAAAACACTTGTTTTGTCTGAAGACAAGAAGAGCATTAAGCGCGTGAAACCGATTCCAACGGAAGCGGAAGTTACGAGAGATCGTTGTTTGTGAAAGGGTTTGAAGAGAAGACGACTCGTGAACAAATCTTGGAGTTCATTAATGCGGTTGCCAAGGTCGAGTGCATTAAAATGAACTACAACAGATTGAAGGAAGTCAACACATTCAATACGACCGTGTTTGTCGAATTTGAAACAAAAGAAGAGATGGAGAAGTTTTTGGCTGCGAAATTGAAGTTTGGAGAGAACGAAATTGTCGCAAAGCCAAGAAGCGAGAAATCGAAAAACAAGAGCAACAACAAAAAGAAACCGGATCACATAAACTTGAAACTTGTCATCTCCGACAAGACCATTAATAAAGACTTCAAAAACGCAGTGAAAAACAATCAAATCCTGAGAGATAATGTCGTGAAGTACTTCGTCGAAAGAAGTGCATCAGAGAGGAACTTGTGCACAGCAGTTCCAACCAAAACAGAAGAAAAGGTCGCAACTGAGAAAGTCGAGGAACAAAAACCAGTCGAAATGGTCGAAGAAAAAGCCGACGAAAAGAAAGAGGAAAAAGCTGAGGAGAAAACTGAGAAGGTACAAACCACAAAAAATGCATTTTTGGCATTGAAAAAGAACGAAGATCTTGAAAAAGTCAAAGAAGCACTCGCTGGTTTGAAATTCCATGGAATGGGAGTTGTCGTTCAAGAATGCACTGAGGAGGACAGTAATAAAATCGCCACATTCTCAATCCCAACGAAGTCGAAGTCAAGAACTTTCAAAAGAAAGCCAAGAAACGACTGATTGATATTTTTTCTGTTGTTTGTTATTATTGTGTTTGTAGTCTTCTGAGGAGAAAGCTTTAAAACAATTACAATCAATTTGCTTTTACTCCACCTCAATTTTGACGTCTTTGACTGGCGAGCAAGGCTGTGCTGCGTGTACAGCCTTGTTAAGTTCTTCTCTGATTTTCCCAAATTCCTCGGGTCTAATTCTGTTTTTGAGAGTGTTTCCCCTGTACACAAAGAAGCCGTCCTTTCTCTTCTTTTTATCCTCCATCTTTTTGATTCTTCTTTGGTTGCGTTCAATCACTTTGCTGATTGTGCACGCGTTGCAAATTGCAATACTCACAAGGGGGATGTAGACGATTGTCAGATAGAACATGCCCACCCCAAACCATATGTTGCTTGGCTCGAGGCTGAACCCAAAGAGGTCGAGCGCGTCTTCCTTTTCGTCTAACAAGAAGGTGTACTGTGGTAACAATAACCCAACAACATTCAACCCGACCGCTGCTATGCTAGCTAATGTGATGACGGCAGCAAAGAGAAGGGACGACGTGTATCCTCGCCATCCCGACGCAAACAGTCCAAAGAACCCAGCGATCACAAAAAGCATTCCTACTGCCACGGAGTAGTACCCCGTCATCCTGCCGAATATAAGTGCGTAAATGATTCCTGTGGCCTATTCGTTAAAGAACTGAGAACCTCAAGACATGGAGAGTTGAGTAGCACAGAAATCACAATTGTTGTGAGTTGTAAAAACATAAAAATGACAAACGATGACTAAAAAGGAGAGTGGGTAAAAACACAATGAGGGAAGGAAGCAATGCATGTTGCTCCAAGATGTCTGGTTTGTCTTTATTCGCGCCTCTTATGCTTTCACTTTCCACTAAATCTCTCACTTTCTCAATCTCGTTTCTCCGTTTTTGATACTGACATACTATTATTTTACTATATTTTAACCATTTTTTTACTTATCAAGTATGCTTCGTTTTGCTTTTCTCTCGCCCAAACTTTTTTCGTTTTCGACTTCAAAAATCCGCCAATCTCCTTTGTACGGACTTCTTGTGTCTTAATTTGAAGTACTACAATTTAGTTATTTTTAACAATATTATATAGTACAGTAAATGTTAAAAAAGCAAGAAGAAATATTTCACAAAAAAATTGTGAAAAAAAAAGAGAAATGTGGACCTTTTTTCAAAGGTCTCTAATCAATGACTTTGTTAATCTTTTTTTCACCATTGATTGCACTTTTGGTTTAACAGTCGTTATTTTGTTTATTAACTATAATTAATAATAACTCAAATAATAAAGAGCAATAGTAAACCGAACTAACGAAAACTGTCCCAAATTTGAATCAAATACCAAAATTTTCGTTCTGAAAAGGATGTTTGAAATACTATATGTTAGTAGTAAATAAACAATACTTAATAGTTAAATAATTAGTAAAAGTGACCGCAAACCCGCAAAAAAAAGAGAAAGAAAAGGAAATTCTAAGAATTTCGATAAACCGGATACTTTAAAAAAAAAGAGACCTCTCACTCCGGTCAGAGATCGGGTAGATGACGGAATGAACAAAAATTTGGGAAGGAAAAAAAAATGGAAATTCCAACCCCAAAAAGGAGTTCCGTACCTCGGTCGACTTATGAAAGAACTTTTAACTGGCAGCCTCAAAAAAATGACTCAGATGAGTGTGTTCAAGCCCGCCAACAAGGCGTATTACGAAGTGAAAGCATTCGCCGATTTCCTCACGATCGGTCAAAGCCCAATCCCCAAGACTGTTATTATCCAAAGTCCTTCGCCCTCTTTCTATAAGCCAACACTTCCAAAGATCCCGCGAACAAAGAAGAAATGGACCGTCCAACACAAGAAAGAAGCCGTCAAGAAAGCAAGGGAAATTGGACTGACAAAAGCAACTCGGTTTCTACAAAAAAACTACCCCGAGACATTCTGCGATCTCTCCCCTAGCACGCTCCAGTACTGGATTCAGAAATTCGACTGATTGTCCCGCGGTGTATTGATTTCTTTATAGCCATTTTTATTCACAACATTTTATTTGTATTGTGTTATTATTTTATCACAATTCATACTCGAGTCATAATTGCAAAATTCACTCCAGTTTTATTTTTTTGTTTAACCAGTAATAATAGTTTATGTATGGTATTTTATAATATATGTATTTTTTGGTAACTTTTTGGTTGATTGACATAATTTCAGTTGCTAAAATTTTTAAAATATCAAAAGTTCCCAACTAACAATGAATTATTTTTTATTATTATTTTGTTAATATGTTTAGTTTTTTATTTCCAAAAAAATATAAAAAGAAAAAAAGAAACACCGAAATTGGAATTCCATGGAAAATGGTTTTGAAATTTTTGTATTATTTTATTCTATAAATAATTTTTTCTTACAGAAAAAAACAACAGTTTGGTTAAACTGTTAAATTTATAGTTTTATTTATTATAAATATATAATTTATATCGATAAAAATACCAAAACCCGAAAACGAAGGTTTAATTTTTTTACAACTTCAACAAAAATACGAATACAATATATTAATATAAAAACTAGAAAAGAATTACATTTTTTTGATTTTGGGGTGTGTGCAAAAACAAAACTCAAAAACAGTTTTGGTTTCGTTACTTCTCATTTCTTTTTTTTTTCTGGTCATCACAACACAAAAACAAGGAAACCCCGAAAATAAAAAAAAGAAAACCAAAACGGTTGAATGACTTGAACGTGATTTTTTTCGGAGATGATTTTTTCTGGTGCAATCTGCGGAAAAAGTCGGGAAACTTCTGAAATGTTTTTACATAATAACAAAATAATTAACATTTAATTATTTATAAGTTCACTTCTTCATGTTAGGTTCAACAAAATAGAACAAAATATCAAAGTGAAGTTATTAAGATTAACAACTAATATACTTTTTGTATTTATTTTATTTACTTTTAATAATTAAAAAATGTAACTTCTCTTGTTTGTTTTATTTTTTTAATTTGAAACTATAAAGATCAAATCAAAAACTTGAACTATATTTTATAATTAAATTTTACTATATTTTTTTAATTAATTATCGTGATGAATTAAAGAGAAAGGACGGACATGGGGACGAAGGACGGGAATATAGGCCGAAGGACGTCCTTTGTGGTTTAAGGACGTCCTCCCGCTATAAAGGACGTCCTCCCTGTGTATATGGTGTCCTTTCTATTATTTTCGTGTCCGCGGCATTTTTTATTCATTATCGAAACTATATAACGAAGTATATTTTTATTATAAATATACAATCAAAAAATATAATTATTTCCAAAAATAAATTTAATCAAAGACAAAAACTATTTAACAAGTAATTTTGTTATATATTATTGGTTTATAAAAAATTACCATTTTTTTTTCATTTTACCATTCAGTTTTCTTTGAAAAACTAATTAAATATGCATTTTTTATAAAAACCATTAATTTATAACAAAATTACTTGTTGTTTAACATTTGTCTTTGAATTAATTTATTTTTGGAAATAATTATATTTTTAATAATAAAATTATAATAAAAATATACTTCGTTATATAGTTTCGATAATGAATAAAAAATGCCGCGGACACGAAAATAATAGAAAGGACACCATATACACAGGGAGGACGTCCTTTATAGCGGGAGGACGTCCTTAAACCACAAAGGACGTCCTTCGGCCTATATTCCCGTCCTTCGTCCCCATGTCCGTCCTTTCTCTTAAAGAATATTTAAAGTGTTTATAAATTGTTTTTTTAATTTTTAGAGTACTCTCAAACTGATACAACACAAAATTATTTCAGTTTTCGAATAGTTAAATAACATATTTATAATAACAAATTATTGAATCATAATTGTTTATCTATATTATATATGAGTATAAGTAATTTAAAATATATTATTAAATATCTATTAAATATATTTAATAAATATTAATAAATAAACTAGAGTTCATTAATTAATAATAATATTAATTAATAATTCAAAAGAATGAGTTATTAAAAAAAAGTGGAACGAACTGAATAAACTCTCGATGACAAATCTCCAGCAAGCACTTAATATATTCACCGAAATCCAAGAAACTTCAAAAGACGTCCCATCCAAACTGCGCCAGATAACTCAATTGATGACTTCAGCGCAGACGGTCATGGATTTTGTTGCAGTCGGCGTGTTTTCCTCCATTCTGGCATATTTTCCGACATGTCCGCATGAAACTTTGCAGTTAATTGAAGTTTTGGTGTGCAACAGAGACACGGCAATCGCATTTTTAGAGTCGATCTTTTACGACACTTTTTTACCAATGGTGGCCGAACAATCCGACCCAATTTTAATATCGGCGTGCATTCGTGTTATTATTAAAGTGACTCGTTTTACTAAAGTAAATGCCGAAGTCCTTATCAGTTTTATTACCCCGTTTGTAACACCTCAGTACCTTTCTTCTGTGGACATTCTATTTAATGTTTTATCACACAAAAATGTATTTCCAGATCCATCAGTCGTTGAGTCTCTTGTTGGGAAGTTACTTACGCTCCCAAACAATGACAACGCGTTAGCTGTGTACTACAGTGTGATGGAGGAAGGGGTCGACGCACAGAAGTGTGTTTTGGAACTTGCAAAGAAGCTCTCTCAAAGGGGTGTTGGGCAAACGTATGTTATCGGAATTTTTGCGAAACTCCTTCAAAAGCATTATGCGTCAGAGTCCCTGAAAAAAGGCGACGACTTCCCATTTTTTGAAACGCTTATCAGTCCTGTCGTTACGTCACAGGTGGGATCAATCATCTCAGAAAGTCGGGAGATTTCGAAGATTGAGTTGTCACTCACGTTCTTCGAGATTTTAAGTGCGGAAAGAGAGGGCGTAAAGGCGATAAAAAACACGGGGTGTTTGAAGAATTTGATACTACTCTTCGAGGAGTCTCCCTTGCCAACCTCGAAGTTCGACAGGATCTTCAACATCATCACAAACTGCGCTATTGACAACGAGTTGTTCCTTGTCCTCTCACACCTCCATATATTCAGGTATGCTTTCGAGATCTTAACAAAGAGACTAATAGACGATAGAAAGACTGTACTGGCATGCTATCGAGTGCTCCTGGTGTTTTATGATGTTGAGGAGACAAAGGTTGTGAATGGAATATTGGAAAGAAACGATTGCGAAAGCATAGAGTGGCTGTTTCTCGCCGCACTTTCTAAAAAGTATGTAAAAGGAATACCAGACCGTATGGTGAAGAATGTGAAGGAGGGGCAATACTTCATTATGTTTGACGTATTGTTAAAATATATTTCTGTTTTTGAGAACATGGCGAAGAAAGAAAGTCCGTGGATTTTTGATTACTCACACGTTCTTGAAAACGAAGATGACCAACAATTAAGTAACGATGTGAAAATGGTTGAAAAGATTTTGTTTGACGCGATCTGTAAAGGATATGAGGTTGTCAAGATTGCAGAGATTTTCGTGCGAAACAAAATTTATGTGACGGAGGTTTGGCTGTCCAATATTAAGAACACTGACGAATTCTTCTCGATGGTGAACACGGTTTTTAAGGGCGTTCCCAAAATTGAATTTTTGAAAATGTTCGCGAAGACAAGCTTCAAGGAAAACATCTCTTTTTTGACGCTCATTTATAACGAGCTTGAAAATCAAGATCTGAAAGTGGGGGTTTTGGTGTTAGAGTTTTTCACTGATGTAATGAAGAGTGAAACGAAGGAATTGGTTTTTGACTTGGGGTGGTCGGATTCAATTGTCAAGCACTTTTGCCAAATCACACAAGATAAAAGCGTTGTGAAAAAGGCGTTGGAGTTTATTAAAATCGTTGCAACTGACAAAATGATCAGCGAAGAAGCAACACAAAAAGCTCTAGAGTACACCACTTCTTTTATTGAGGGGGAGAATGATGTTTCCGAACTGGCGTGTGAATTGTTGTCGTATTTGAGTTGATTTTATTTTTATTAATTATTTTACTATACAATTATTATTGATGTAAAATAATCAAATTATTGATGTTATTTGTTTATTTCCACTCACAAGAATTATATTACAAAAAATGTATTATAATTTTTTCTCGGTTTAGTATATTTTCGTGACACAAATAATTCAAAAGATTTTTTAAATTAATCCTCATCAGATACTAACAAATGAATTAATTTGAATAGTTCAAGTCGCATTTAAGTTTTGTTGTTGGTCCAAGTGTCCACCAGTTAATTTTGAAAACAGCAAATATGTAATGATTCCACTGCAACCAATATCTATTAAATAACAATGAATTTCAAATACACCGCGTCAACCAGACAATAGATGAGACTTTTCACTGTTGACCACACCCCACCTTACTGTTATTCCGCCTTCTCATGGCATTCCAATCAATTAAAGAATATCAAATTTGCAGAAGAATTTGCGAATGAAAGACTTGATATAGTCACTGACGAGCTTACAAGTAGAGATGGCAGAGACACGCAATTCAAAAATGCGAATTGGCATATTTCGGTGATTCCTCTATGGGTCTTCACTTCCGTCAGTGCCGAGCAATTTGCAAAACAATAAGCTGGAATGACTGATACCCCACTAGGAATCTTCATTTCCATAAGACATTGCAGCCCCGAGAAGAAATACGTTTGGAGGGTTTTCAGTGTTTTGGGGAGCGCAATGTGTTTGACTTGTGTGCATTGAGTAAATTGCAACGACCCAAAAGATGTGACATCGTTCTCAAAGACAATTTCCGTGAGTTCCGAGCATCCGTCGAAGACATTAGCGAACTTTTGTATTGACTGTGGGAGGGTCAGTGCAAGTAATTTCGCGTTATTCTTCAGACATCCATCAAAACTTTTTACTGCCGGGATCTTGAACCTTTGCACGGCATTCCCTTCAAAACACTTTTTCTCCAAAACAACGTGTGTGGACTCATTCAAAACGATTTGTGTGAGTCCAACGCCTTTAAAGCATCTTTCGCCAAAGTAAAGAATTGATGTTGGAATATGGAAATTAGACAACATGTGACAGTTCATGAAACATTCTTCTGAAATCATTGTCACAGAGTGGGGAATGTCTATCTCAAATAACGAGACGCAGTCTTTAAACATCCGTTTCGGTATCATTTTAATCATCTTTGGCAGTGTCACACGTTGTAATGAATAACACATCTCAAACATCGCTTCACACTGAAATGAAGTTTGTGACACTAAATGACACTTCTTCTTATTTTTCTCCTCTCCAAAGGAAAATGACGTCATCGAGCTGCATTGTTTAAAGCACTTCTCCATCTCATTCAGTCGCAACGGCACTTGTAAACACAGGGTTTGCAACTTTTTACAATTCTCAAACGTTTTCCTCGTCAACTCAACAACCCCCTCACCAACCACTTTATGCAATTTCACACACTCGGCAAAGCATCCATCTTTCAGTAATGTGATCGACTTCGGTAATTCAATCTCTTTTAGTGAGTAACAGAATTTAAAGCACTTAATATCCAATAGATGTAAGGGTGCGTGTAAAGTGACACATTGAAGGGACTCACATCGTTTAAAGCACTTCTTCCCGATGAACGTCACTGATGTTGGCACACTAATAGACACAAGTCCTGAACATCCATTAAAGCTTTCATCCAATTTAATAATTGTAGTCGGAAGACTCACATCTTTTAATTGTTCGCAGTCGATGAAGGACCCAACCAACTCGGAGACTCGACTCGGCACCTTCACGCTTTCTAATTGAAAGCAACACAAACTCTTCTTTTCAAGGTTCTCCGTCTGACTCAAAATCGTTGTGACAAGGGCCTCCGGTAAATTCAAATATTTCACTACCGACCGCGAGAGTGGAAACGTCCCAATGACCTTCACACTTGTTGGGACGTTCATTGTACTGAGACTTAAACAGTCGTGCACCACATAATTTCCTAATCGTGTTAAACTCAGTGGAAGATGGACATTCAGCAGACTTTTACAGTGTTGGAGAGTGCAGTTGCCGATATCTTGTAAAGAGTCTGGGAATGCGATGCTCGTCACCTTCTCGCACGTCGAAAAGACTTCATCTCCAAATATCGAGATCGTCGGCGGAATTTCAATCGACTCAAATTGGCAGAACGAGAAACTTTGAGTACACAGTCGTGTGACGCCAAAGGGGATCTGAAAATGTTTCATACACAGTGACGCGTAAAACGCCTTCTCTGGAATTTCAGTGATATATCTCGACATGGTGACAGCGGACAGTGCCGAGCAGAACTTAAAACATGCTTTGCTCAGGCGTGTCAAGTTAGTTGGAAGACTGATTTCTTGGAGAGACATTGCAAAACTGAAACATCGGTCACCGACCCGGGTGAGGGTGTCGGGGAGGGTGATGTGGACCAAATTCTCACAGCGGGAAAAGCAGTCGTCGGCAAGTTCGACGACACTTGATGAGACTGTGAGAGCAGTCACAGAGTTGTATGGATATTCAAACCCACAAAAGACGTGAATGCCTTGAGGAAGGCAAAAAGACTCAGAAATGGTGTCGTATTCTTTATACAGCACTTTCGTGTAGAAAGTCGGAAAGGCAGTTTGTGCGGGAAATACAGTCAACTGCGTTTTGTAGGTGACAAGGTGTCGAGATATAGAGCCGTCATAAAATTTGATATCGGTGGGGGAATAGAGGTACTGCGTTTCAAGATGCGTGAAATAAGAACGTGTGTGGGAGGTCAGAGGAATCGGATTGAAGTGAAACTTCGCGATGGTTGCTATGAACTTCTTACATACGAGAGTCGCGTTGATAAAGTCGGCGATCGACTGAAAGTATTTTGATACTATCATTAAACTATAACTGTCTAATTGTGTTGCCATTGTATGACGTGTTTCCTATTGTTCTTGGAGTGTGGCGGAATAGAAATAAAGTTTCGTTCCAACTTTTTGACTTTTGAAAGAAAAAAATAGAAACAAATGGAATTCGACAAATAATTAAATTCATTTCATTATTTGTGTATTTGAATTGAATAGTTAGTAATAAATTATTAACTAATTTATTATTACTAAAATCAATTCAAATCAAAAAATTATAATTATTAATTGTTTTATATAGATAAATTATTATAATTTATAGTTTGATAATTTTTTATAAAATATAATTGAAATATATAGATAAAAAACTAGATATTTATTAACTTGGTTCATGAATGATAAAAAAATAGTTATAAAAATAATAATTAACAAGAACAACGACTTTTATGGACGTCAAAGTTAAAATTATAAAAAAAATAATTAATCATCATTTTTAATCATTTAATTATATAATAACTATTATATAGTAATATATAGTATTGTTCAAACTAATAATAATATTATTGTTTTATTAAAAAATATAATAATGAAATGATTTACTTTGTTCTTTTAGTTGCTCTTCTTCTTGTTGGGCGCTTTGGGGACTTTGGTGGTACGGGCGGCTTGTTGCAAAGTTTCTTTGGCGTTAAAACCGTGTTGTTTGTTGAGTAACTTTTAAGCTGTTTTTCTTTTGAAATGGAACTTAAAACGGTCCCATCAAAGGACGACGCAAGGATGGCTGCTATAGCTCCCTCCAGTGCTTCTTTAAGTTCCTTTGGAATTTCGTCGGTTGTCATTTTATTTCAAGCACACATTCCTTGTGTTTTCCGCACTCAAAAAATGATTCATTCCAACATAAACAATCTTTCAGAGATATTATACACTTATTATAATTTACCATAAAATAAATAGAAATAGTAATATTACCATAGGTCCCGATTTGACAGCCAAATAACATGTGACACATCAAAAAGTAAAAGAAACTATACCAAATACTATAATATAGTACATTTACTAATAAGTGAGAAAGAACTTTATTTGAGTGAAATGGAAGTTGAAGGCGAAAAACAAGAAGCTGAATACGTGTTGGGTGAAGCTCAAAAGAAAACCGAGTACTATGGAATTCGTCCACCTGATGTGTGTGCTGGGTTGAATGTGGAGAGATGTGATGAAGACAAGAAGCCGCTGACAGCTAAGAATCTACGAGTCGCACGACTTGGGAATGGAGAGGAAGAAGACGCATTGCAACGGATTTCTCAGTGGCTTGGCGCACAGGAGACGCACTGACTTCAATTGATTGGTATTTGTTTGTTTTCTTAAGAAATGATATTAAAACGTACGAAGTGGTCAATTAAGACAAAGACCGCATTGGAACCAATTTGGAAGAGAGAGTTCCACGCAATGACATTTGTGTTGTGTGTCGAGTTTGGGATGATTGCGGAAGACGCGGCTGCTACACTGCGAAGTGCGAATTTGTGAGGGAGTGAGGTGGTAAGAGGGGATGGCAGTGTTGCAAGTGACGCGTTGAAGAGAAAGTCTTGGATGAATGTTGTTGTTGTGAAGAGAAGTGTTGTGCCAAGTGGCGCAGAAACCCACCGCTCGATGGTCCGTTTGTTGGTGTCGAAGAGAGCGCCGATATAGCCATAGATGATACCACCAACCACACACGATGGGATGTTTGCAGTCGACACCACAAGAACATCGCCAGGAAGTCTGAGTGGATTGTGTGTTGTGTTGTATTTTGTGAACAAGTTGATGTGCAGCGACACACGAGATAGCATCGATTTTGAAGTTCTTATATTAATGCAATGTTGTTATAATCATGGTATAAAGTACTATACATTGTTATATTAATTATTGCTATAATAAATAACTATGGTGTTATTAAACAAGACATGGTCATAAAACATAACTGTCTTCTGTCTCCACAAGTCAAAATGTAAACAATCAGCAATTAATATTTATTTATAATATCATCAATAAAAACGAATTATTGTTTTGTGATTTGGTTGTTCTGGGGCAGACCTTTCCCACCCTCACCCCGTTTACCAAAATAAAATATTTGCCGCGAGTGTTTTTTGAAGGGAATCCACTTTTCAGCCACTGTTTGTGCGTCCCCATGTCGCCCACTTTCCTTGTCCGTACTGTGTGGACGCGGATGTGGTTCCCCCCGCTTGCGGGGGGGTCAGGGGGGATCCGCGCCAAGGGAGGACTTGGAAAGTGGGTGAAAC